AGTTGCATCCGAGTAGTGAGCTGTCAAACTGGCCAGGGCATCCAACTGCTGGTCCACTTTGCAGCGCCACTGTAAACGGACACGGTGCAAACATGACTGATATTGCATATCGCATGCGTCATGGTTAACCAAGCCCGTATGGGAATGTGGTTGACTATGTCTGTTGTCCTCTTCACTGTCGGAAACGCCAAAATGCGACTCGGGAGAGCCAAGTACACGACGGGTGTGGATGGACCGATTGAGCAAGTTATTACCGATGTGGTGAGTGTCACTCTCACGTGGTCGATTGTTTCTGTGCACTTGAGGGATCAACGGTAGATGATGTTTTTCAAAATGGACCAAATGACCCTGTGCACTGATGTAAGACAAAGCTTCAGATGGTTCCGCGATTAGGCTGATAGGGTGTTCCACCCAAGGGAACGCTCTAATGTTAGCCAAATCCGATGGACAGCATAGATATTCCTTGAGAAATACACCACACTGACCGGTTGTGCACCAAGGACAACCGGTAGGGGACGAGACTCGTGTCAGATGCCGGTGAACCTTTTGCAAGTAGTCCATATCTTCGGAATCCATACCACGAAACAATATAGAACGCATGACCTAACACCGATAGGGAAAAACATGCACAGTACAGCCGGGTTTGTAGAAAAAATCCAAAAATACACCACAACCTGCGAGTGTTCTAATGTTTACTGACAACCCAAACGTTTGAATAGTTGAACATGAACAGGCTACGTATAATAGGGTTTGGAAAAAATCGAAAGAGCTCCATTTGCGGTAATCTACCCAAGACAAAATTAACACCGTGTGAGATGATGGAGAACGAGACAATCTAAGAAAAATATAGCTGGATCTAATACTAGTATAAATAACATAATTCGATTATGAAGCAGTGAACCTACGTCAAACGATTCAATCACAGCACTTTGTAGAAGAGGCAAATTTATGAAGTATTTGAGACCAAATAGGGAAAACGGTGTTCATACACTGATGTCTGTCATCATCTTACACTCGGTCTTATGTGAGCAGGAAGCATGCACAAATTTCAGTGGTCACAGCTAGTCCCATGTGATTAGCCTCCATCACGCTGAGATTGTACCTTGACGTGGTGTGATGGCTTATGCATCTCTATGACCCAATGAGCTAGGCAGGATGACTTCCACAAACACGGAAACGGAACAATTTCTTCAATATACAAATGCGTCTATTGTGGTGATCCGACTGACTATCGTCATTTCACTCCCATTCCCGTATTATCCCTAGCCATGAAATGTATTGTTACAATATGATGAATCAATTGAAAAATACAACATATTAACCCTGGCGAAACAAGGATTTCGTTGCAAATGATCGTGTACCACTAGTCTACTCCTGGCTCGAAGGGGGTGAACAAAAGCAGTTGATCTTGGCGATGCAGTTGTGTACCCGGACTTTTCCACTGTATTTGATTCGGTGAACCACAAAAGACTGCAGTGGGATTAATACTGGGTTAGGTCGAAGAATTTCTTCGATAACACACCATTGCAGTTCGGGTTTCTGGGTCACCAACTGGTTCTATCAAAAAAGCACGAGCGGCTCAAAAAGGATCCGCTCTCAAAGTTTTATAGATTTCATAAACGGTCTAACTGATGTTCTGAGGCCACAAACGGTTATGTTTGCAGACGATGCAAAAATATTTTTTAAAAAACAGTGACAAAACCTGATTACTCACTGGCACTTAGGAGAACATATAGTGCTGTCTATCAACGGTCGGAAACGACATTGAATTCAATGCATCGAAATGCACGACTGGATCCATTCGCTACAAACCTCGATTGCTGTACTTCCTGGGATATCAACAACTTTCGTATGCTGCAAATGGGAGGAATTTCGGTCTCATCGTTCAAGAGGAACTAAGATGTTCATAACACTGCTCCGGGGCGTCGTCCGCCGCTACAAGACGGTGGTTTGCTAAAGCGAGGGTTTGGCAAATCTGAACCTATCCTGTTCCCACGTTTGTTACCAGACTACATTTGACTGCACATAGAGCACGCCGTTCAAGCGTGGCTGCATGGCGATCATAAGATTTTGCAACATCGACAAAGAATGGACATCAAGACGGTCAAAGGATTGCACTGTATCAAATGATGCAGAACCTTGATCATCTTTCTCGTTCATTATTCACCATATGGTCAGACATTCACTCCAGAGACACAAATTCGAATTATTGCTCCAAAACTATTGCGTAGAATGCCGCCGTTTGCCCTCAAATCATGTAGCATTTGCAATTCCCTACAACCTCGTTTTTCCTGCATCAATAACTGAGTCTTTCGAGCGCAGATTGAATAAATCGTTATGTCCTGAATTTCCATAATAAAACTTTGACAAAGAACTTGTTCGTCATTTACAAAGTTCATTTTCAAATAGCACTGTACTAGTTTATCGATAAATAAATCTCGATCCTGAAGCCTCGACAACCTCGGATTATGGTCAGGGGCCTCCAGAGTGAGAAATCTAGTGCAGGTAGATTAACATGCTTGTTTTGTGCGCACAGTGAGTTCTTTTCTGAGCCAGAAATCCGTGAGGAGATCCAAGCCTTGGGACGTCACAAAGCGCCGAGCTCCGATGACTTTCTCCCTGCTATACTTATAGATCGTGGAACAAACCTTGTTAGAGAACGACAACGCCTGTTCTACTCCTCGTGGAGGAATCTTCAAAAAGGGTCGGAGCAACGACTGCTCCCAT